ATACACATTTTCGAGCAAGGCTTCATGACTTCATCGTGCAGGCAATGTCTGATCCCGAGGCATTATAGTAATACACGTGATGAAGAATAAGTACCTCGGGGAGAGATTATGTGGAGCTTCCAGTCCTTGCACCAAGCTGTGGCTCGTTTCATAGTTTCTAGGGTCGGAAGGGACCTGAGCAGATCATGGTAATATAGGACTTTTTCCCCTGTACAGGGCTCCACAGATATATGTCTGAGGATGGGAAGTGGGGCAGAATTTGAAGCCAAGAGCATTGTTTCATAGTTGTTAGGGGTTGAAGGGACCTTACACATCATCGGGTCCAGCCCCTACTGTATGTGGGCAGGAAAGACTCATGGGATCCAGTGATCCCAGCAAGATGGGCATCAAGAGGTTTTTTGAAGATCGCCAGGGTGGATGACTGGACCACTTCTGGGGGAGCCTGTAGTGACAGCGCTCCTCCGATGGAGGACCAGGATAGTATCTGAGTATGTAGCACGTTGTACCTATAAGCAGGAAAGCAGAAGATGACAACAGATGCTTGTCAGCCTTTACTCGCTATTCAAAGGATCCTGCAAACACTACCAAGTCTTCGTCAGGTGCAAACAGACACTGCTTTATTAAATGCAAGCCAAAGCCGCTGCACCACTTTTCGTCCATCCTCAACCTGCTGACGATCCAGGACCTCTGTTTTTCACCTCGCTTTGCTCTGCACTGCTAAGTACTCCCGATTTCTCTAAATCCCATGAGCCCAGGGCACAAAGTGCTGACACGAGCCATTTAGCATGTCCATGCGCACAAGCGAAGCTGTTATTTGGAGCTGGCATGAAGTCAACACAATTTCCATCTGAGAGCTATTAAGTAAACACTGCGAACCAAGAACACAAGCGTTGTCTTCTGCAGCGGGTCACTGAAATAGGCTGCGTTGCCTTTGCATAACCAGGCCTGGGGAAGCAGGAGGTTCAGGCTTGATTCTGAATTTCCTGGCCCTCTCCCACCCCTTAAGGGAAACTGTTATGGTCTCATTGGGGCTAAAGCCATGTGGTTAAATCACGCTGGCCCACAGGACACAAGAACTGAGGTTTTATTGATTCTTCTTTCAGGCTAAAGCCTGGCTCTAACTTCTATGTTATGAATGTTGCTTGTATTTGGAGTGTGCCTACAGGCTCCCACTGAGTTCACTGTCCTCTGTGCTGGGCATGGTGCAAAAGCAGAGGAGAAAGGTAGTACAGTCAATCCCTTTATTGCAGATGGGCAACTGAAGTGCAGAGAGATTGAATGTCATGTCCAAGGTCATCCAGGAAGCCTGTGGCAGAGGAAGGAAATGCCCATCTGGATCCCAGCCTGAGCCTTGACTGCAAGCTCATCCTTCTTGCACCCGTGGGCTAGGCTTTTGTATCCTTTATACGACTACTCAAGCTGTCAGCGGAGTCCTTGCTGATTTACACCAGTTACAGGAAGAGACATGGATACAGCCCCAGCTTGCAGAGGCTCCAAACCAGACTGGAAATTGAAAGCCCTATTGTTAAATCATCCCTGTGGTTGTCTGCTGATGCAAGGAATTTTTGGAAGCGATTTATTTAGCGTAGAGATTTGCAACTTGGGAAAAAAAAGGGTGTCTGTTGTGCCTGGGACGAGCATCTACAAAAGGTGAGGTTAAATTTTGCTTGGGAAATAAGCAGCCTTGGCTTTCAACTTGTTGCTGACAATGAAGAGCGGAGGGCTGAGAGACATCCGAGGGGGAAAACTTGCAAACAGTTCCTGCTATCTGAACATGAGTGCCCCTCCCCGTCCATGTGAACTGCAGAGGCAAAAGAGAATGACACATGTGCTGTTTCCTTTTCCAGTTGCAAAGGGGTCAGGAACTAGGCTAGGAGTGCCTGAACAAGAGCAGCTTTCTCCTGCCCTTCCAGCTGTTGTGTTCAATCCAGCCTCCGGTCCTGAACAGGGAGAGAGACCGTCAGCATACATAAGGCACTGTTGAAGGCATAAGTTATGAGTTTCCCAAACAGTACATCTCCACCGCGTGAGTACCCTTCTTTTTCTCCCATCCCTATGGCAAAAGTGAATTTATAAGTCTGTTGTTTAATGCGTTTTTAAACAGGCTTCCAGTTTAGCAAAAACAACTGGGCAGGAACGAAGTACTGATAAAACTCTGTCCCTTTGCTTACCTCTTTGTATGCGAGCGAGCGAGCGAGTGTGTGTGTGTGTGCGTGTGTGTGTGTGTGTGTGTGTGTGTAAAAGTTAGAGAGAGACCCGAAATGCCTGTCTGCAAAGTTCAACTCCCAAATATGACAGATCCACTTCTGTCTCGGTCCTAGGATAGAGAAAATTGAATGCAAATGCTTTTTTCTTTTTTGTTTTTTTTTTTCCTGTTTTGTTTTTACTCCCTTAAGGAATGAAAATATAAAGGCATTTAGGAGGCTTCATGTCTCTCTCCTGAGATATTAATGGTGCTGCCTCACTTGTGTTTAGAGACACAAGCTGTCTGTGTGTAATATGAGACACAAGCCAAAAACTGTCAGTCGATATTTAAAGTCACAATGCTTTTTTTTTTCTTCTTCGCTTTTGGAAGTTTGAAAACACAGTTTTGGGACACGTGAATTATTTTCTCAGTGAAGATATACGAGGGTATATTCTCTGGAGGTGGTACTCTGGGCATGCCAGAAAGTTTTGATAACATTTGGCCTCGGGAGCTCAACAGCATAACTGCATCCCAGTCGATTATTTTGGGGAGTGCTATTAATATGTAGAGGGCTAGCTTCAGGTCCGGTCCAGATCTTAATAACTACTGGGGATATTGCCAGTACTATTTGACCTGTCATCCTGATTATGGCTTTGCTAGAGACTTTTCATTTTAATTCAAAGGGATCTGATTTTTGTAGCGTTGCAGCAGTTATTTAAAACATAATAATAATAAACCACCCAAATGGAGTTATCGCAGGTGATTTCTGTAATAAAGGCACAATACATAGAGGAGTGCTGGGAATAGACTCAATTTTAATTCCTGGTCCTGCGGTTCCTGTTAGACTATCTGGCCCACATGAAGGTTGAAATGGATAGTGTTTTTCGAGCTCTGAGTGAGGCTGGCTTTATCCAGCAGAAATATTATATCGCAAAGAATCACTGGAATTCTAGCCAACAATTTGTATTTACTCTTGGCCTTTTTGCAAGTATCAGCCAGCTCACAAAATGAAATACTATCTATAGCTTTCTCTCTCTCTCTTTTTTTGTTCCAGCAGTTTTAACAGATTAAAGCCCATTCACCACTAATTGAAGAAAAGAAACATCCAGGCAAAATATAGGTGTCTTTGAATAAATGGTGGTGTCTGGGGCTTCTGTGCACTTCTTTTCAGACATGCAAATTACTGTAACTATTGCTCTCAAATGTCTGTGTGGGATTGGGGTTTTGAAGCCATTAGCTAAAATGCAATGTATTGATCGTGTAGTCTTGCTGACAGGGTAAGGCAGGAAAAGCCCAATCTTACGTCCGGGTTTTTAAGAGTTTTGCAAAGAATTTTGCCACAGCAAGGAGTTCAGATTTGGATTTAGAGGCCTGGCTTGCACTATTAGCACTACTTGCACTACTAGCATGCACAGAGATGGAGTTACATGAGCAGCTAAGTAGTGTAACCAAACTTAGAGCCAACCCGAAGTTTAGGTGAGGCAATGTGCTAATTAGGTCCATTGAGACATTACTCTACCCCTTGGTTTAGTAAAGAAAGGTTTCATGCAACAAATTATAACATTGGGGAAGTAATTCCGAGATGGATGTACAAGCAAAGGATCACTGGGCGAAAGAGGAAAGTGTTTTTTCAGTGTGTCAGCGGCTCTTTGGTAACTGACCATATGCACACACTTATCTCATGGTAAGGGGAGGCTAAACCACAGTAACTTGTTCCTTTTTCCCAGGCTGAATTAATGCATAGGAAAACCAGGCAATGCCTAGGGCCCTAAGTGAAGAAGGGGCCCAGTTGTGCTTATTTTACATATTATAATTATTGAGTGCCAAAAGTAGGGCCCCACAAGTTTGTTTGCCTAGGGTCCACTCAAGGGTTAATCCAGCTCTGCCTTTTTCACTGAAGGCTGATCTACCATGATTTAACTTCAACTTACCTCTGGATAACAGCATGCAAATGGATGGTGACCAAGAAGCAGCTCACACGTGGTCAACTGTTTGCATGCCCGTACTATCAGACATTCAAACCCTTTTTTCTGCCAGAAAAGTATAGCTGGTTGTAGACAAAACTAACACCCATTTATTTAGAACTACCGCTGATTAAAATAATGCCCCTGCCTACTTTCTAGCTGCCTGGATGCAATTCCTCTTGCAGATCCAGACAGGATGTTCCTGTATCCTGTTTCAGTTTGCATCACTGTAAATTCAATCCATACAGCTTTAAAAAAAAATAAATTAAGAAACAAAATTAAATTAAAAGGGAAGCCTGGTGGCTGCATATGTCTTTGCAGAGTGTGTTCAGTGCATTGCTTCTATAAGGGTCTTTTTATTTTCCTGGCATAAATCCAGTAACTCCTGCACTGATCAAGGAGATGTTAAGAGTTCACTGTGTTGAGAGGCGCTGTTCAGTATAGATAGCAGATGTTTAGCAGAGAGGGACTATATTTGGCAAAACAGACATACTGCTTCATAAACATCATGAGAAGCCTTGAAACTGGTGTGCATATGCATAAAGCATTGGCCAAATGTTAGACAACTTTAAATATATTGCACTAATTTGTTTATGTTTGGTAGTGAAACTATATAACAGATGCCGGGTGAGGCAAACAGAATGGTACAAAGTTGTCTAATTGCTTGTGATAGGGGAGTTTTACCCCATTCTTGTTTGTATTCAGTCTGTTCCTGATGGTGCTGAAAGGGCACAGTCAAAAAGAGTAAGGTTTCAGGGGGAAATGTTTTAATCTTCCTTAACTCTGTGAATCTTCCCTTGTTTCTATTCTCTCTTCTAATTATGTCACAAAAGAGAGCTGGGTGGTATGTTACTAATGCAGTGCTGTGAACTTCCCCACAATGCAGTGCGCCTACATGTGCGTCTTTTAAACAGGCTTAACCTAAAATTGCCATTTTAAGAGGCATTAAGGGCCCGTGTCTACACCTGTGCACTGTTAGTGCACCTTAAAAATGGAGATTTAAGGTGATGTGAGCCTAAATTTGATACCCGCATAAAGCAGGTATCAAACTTAGGTGTGAATAGCTAAGTTGCATTAGCTCACTTGTAGAGGTGCTAATATGTATTAACAGGTCAATGGATACACACCGCATTAATGCACATTAGCGGGTCTCCATATGTGCTAATGTGTCTTAACTATTCATGCATGAATCTAATGCACCTTAGTGCTCAGTACTGCATCCACATGTAGACACACCCCTAAGTCACTTTAATGCAACTTAAGGAAAGAAGCATTAAATTAAGGCACATGTAAATAGTTTCATAGTTTCTAGGGTTGGAAGGGACCTGAGCAGATCATCAAGTCCAACCCCCTGCCATGGCAGGAAAGAGTACTGGGGTCAAACGACCCCAGCAAGGTGGTCATCCAGCCTCCTCTTAAAGACCCCCAGGGTAGGAGCCAGCACCACTTCTCTTGGAAGCTGGTTCCAGATCCTAGCCGCCCTGACAGTGAAGTCGCGCCTCCTGATGTCTAGTCTGAATCTCCCCTCTGCCAGCTTGTGGCCGTTATTCCTGGTCACCCCTGGCAG